GCCAGTACGCACCTGTGAGAACAGCCCAGAAATCAGAAATCCTGAGTACTGACAATATCAAATGCTCAAGTCCATGTGGAGGAACAGGAATTCTATGCACTGCTGGTAAGAAAGAAAATGGTGCAGCCACTTCAGAAGTCAGTCTGGTGGTTTGTTACAAAAGTAAACATACTTTTACCATACAGTTCAACAATCATATTCTGGCATTTAGCCATCAAAACGTACACATAGACATTTATAGAGTTTTAGTCATAATTACCAAAACTTGGGAGCAACTAAAATGTCCTTTGGTAGGCAAATTGTAGTACATATAGACAGTGGAATATTATTCAGCACTAAAAAGAATTGAGCCATCAAGCCATGGAAAGGAAACTTGTGTATTAGTAAGTGAAAGGAGCCAATCTAAATGGCCACATGCTATCCATTTTGGACCAAGTACATGGCATTTTGGAAAAGGCAAGACCTTGAAGACAGCAGAAAGATTACTGGTGGCCAAAAGTTGGGACAGATGAGGGATGAACAGGCCAAGCACAGAGAATTTACAAGGCCGTGAAAATGCTTTGTAGGATACCATAATGGTAGATATATGTCATTATACATTCAAACCCATAGAATATAAAAATAAGGGTGAGTCCTAACGCACACCATGGACTTTAGGTGATCATGACATGCCAATATACAAGAGTTATGAAACTCTTATGGAGGGTGTTGATAACAGGGAAGACTGTACTGTGGGGACAGAAGGGATATGGGAAATCTCTTGCCTTCCTCTCAATTTTGCTGTGAACCTAAAACTACTCAAAAAATAAATGAATAAAGCCTTTGGGGCTGGAGGAAAGAGGAGTGTTCCTAATTCTCAACTATGCTAAAAATGTGATTTTAAAAACAAATAGGTAAATGTATTCCCCTTGAATTTTTTTTTCTGGGCTGGCTTATACACACTGAATACACATTTACACACATTGACATACTCAGACAACATCATAGGTATATCCCAAGTTAGGTCCAAAATGTTCACAATTCAGAAGACATTTTCCCTTAAAAATCTGCTTCACACATGAACTCAGAAGAGCCAATTTAACCCATGTAAATAAACAATCTTCTAGAATAGAAACCTCTGAAGTTCCTGCTACATCCCTAGAATCCACAAGACACCAACACTCACTAGGGCCTGATAACTACCTTGAATGAGGATTTTGAACGAATAGTAGTATGAAACATTTGTTGAGCACTAACTCCATGCCAAGCATGGTTCTAAACACTTTTAACAGAATATTCTAGGGAATTTTCACAGCCTTAAAAGGTAGCATTTTACAGAAAAAAAGAAAGGGAAGATGAAATTTAAGGCTAAAGACTTTGCTTGTGATCACATGGCTAGGAAGTAGTAGACAAAGGAAAACCTACAGGGCCTGGTTCTAGGCGGCATGTTCTTCACCACACTACACACTGCCTTTCTACTTTCCACTTTAGGTCTTGAAAGCAGATGACTCAATCCTGAAGGTAGCGTGAAGAATGCAAGTTCCATGAAGGCAGGGACATTTGCTCAATTAGTGATCCAAACAAAGCATCCTAAGCACATCAGTGGCACGTAATATTGCTATACTTTGGATCTTAAATATCCCCCAGAGGATCATATATTAAAGGCTTAGTCCCCAGGGTGGCACTATTGGGATGTGGTGGAGTCCTTAGGAGGTGGAGTCTAGTGGGAGGTCAGTGAGCACATACCCTTGAAAGAGATTGCTTCTTTTTCTTTTGTGGTATTAGGGCTTGAACTCAGGGCCTGTACCTTAAGCCGCTCCACCAGCCCTTTTTTGTGATGGGTTTTTTCAAGATAGGGTTTTGTGAATTATTTTCCCTGGCTGGCTTTGAACCGCAATCCTCCTGATGCCTCCTGAGTAGCTGGGATTGCAGGTGAGCCACTGCACCCAGCTGGGATTGTGCTTCTTCCTCTCTTGTTTCCTGGTCATGAAGTGAGTGGTTTTGCTCTGCCATGAGCTCCTGCCATGATGTGCTGCCAAAGCAATAGGGCCAATTAACTATGGACTGGACCCTCCAAAACTGTGAGCCACAATAAACCTTTTCTTTTTGTGAGTTTGTTATCTTGGATATTTAATTATGGTGACAGAAAGCTGACTAACCCAAATTAGCACTCAGTAACTGTCTGATGAATAAATTTAAAGCACTCTTGTTTTTCCAGAGTTATTAGGTCTACTGTAGGCAAAAGTGTAAGCACTATATAGATATGTCTTTGGCATTTTCCTAGGTTTCTTTTGTTGGGTCCTTTTCACATTTACTCTTCTCCTAGGTGACCAGTTATTATTACATCTTCCTGGTTGCATCTATGGTAACACACACGCTGCTTAAAATAAGTTACTATACTCCCAGAACAAGAATCCAACTCCTGTAGGGTGGGAAGTTATTGGGAAAGTAATAATCTAATCCCAGGTCTTTCCAAGAAAGCATAGTCAAACACAATTCCCAGTCTTCTTAGGGATTTATTAGTAACACATAAAACAACAGACTTTAAAGAGATTACTTCTTAACCTCAAATTGTTTATAATTTTGGTATAATTTGGGGAGATGGGTAAACTTTTCTAAGCTGTTGCTGGTTATCAGAGTTTCCTCTTTCCCTCTCCACAATATCCTCAGATTGTTTGTCTTTAGATTCCATGGGTGAGGCAGCCTACCTAATCCACACATTTCCATGGTCAGTGAAATAGACTCCAATGATAACTAAGAAAACTTTCTAAGTAAACAAGTAGTACTATAAGTGCCTTTTCTAGCAAAACATGAACCACCTTCCATTTCCTTCATAAAAGGAAAATTTTATAGCATAATGACATATAAACCAAAAATAACCCAATGATTTTGTTGATTTGCTTTTAATAAGTACGCTGTCAGTTACAAAACCAGATTTGCAAGCAGCATTTCATCACAGGAGCCCTTCTCTACAAAAAAAAAAAAAATTGGAGGTGATGCGGGGTCAGAGGCAAGGATTATGCATCCATCTCCCTTAAACAAGAGACACAGATGATGCACTTGGGAATTACACTGCATACAGGGCTTGAAATATAGGAACTGGGAAAGCATTGCACTCCTGATGCAAGTATGCAGTAGTAGACTGTAGAGTTTAGCAAAGTAACCCAGTCAAACTATGATGATGAATCAAGTACACAACTAAAAGCAAGAACAGCAACATTTCAAAACCAAACAGAGCTCAGTACAACACTGATAATGCAATAATACTAATTATCCTTCTCCCAAATCATTGGCAGTCAAATTATCAAGGCTAAAATCTTTATCACAGGAGCTCTGTGAGGCAAGGAGGCAGCAAGTAGAATACTGCATTAGCATTCTCAGTAAGTTGTGTTGATTTTTAAAAACCCAATCTTCAGTATTTTCAGAACTTTCTCTTAATAGGCTTTAAAACTGTCTGGAGGTATTGATGAGAAGACCTGTGATTGTAAGTCTGTCTCTCGCCATCACTACCAGGGAGCGATGGTCGATGTGATAACTCTTCTAACTGAGAAATGCTCAACTTTATAAATTTTCTCAGGGACAGGGAGGTTTTTAAACCTTACACCCAAATCTTACATCAGCAACTTCTGTTTTGTGTAAATCAGAGACAGTAGGAGATGAAAAAACATCCAGGACAACCAGCACCTGCTCAGGCTGCTCACAAGGCTGGTCCCTAGACATCCTTCCCCTCACCTCTGGATTTTCTGGAGGCTGGGGAGCAGTCCAGAGTGACGTCCCAGGAGACATTCGGTTGAGTAACAATGACCAGTTGTTGTGGTTTGGATAACTGTTCCCCAAAGGCCCATGTGTTAAAGGATGAATCCCAGCTTGCTGCTACTGGGAGGTGGTAGAACCTTTAAGAGGCAGAGCCTAATGGGAGGTCTTCAGGTCACTGGAAGCATACCCTTGAAGAGGACAATGGGTACATACCCCCTTCCTATCTTTTTCTAGTTTACATACTGTTACAGTTTATATATGAAATGTTCCCAAAGGTTAATGTGTTGAAAGATTGGTCCCTAGCTGGTGAAGTTATTGAAAAACATTGGATCATGAGAACACTAACCTCATCAATAGGTTGATTCATTGATGAATTCAGAGCTGAATGGACTATCAGGAAGTGACGCCTAGTTGGAAGAAGTAGGTCACTAGGGATACCCTAAAGGTGCATCCAACTCTCTCTCAGTTTCTCTCTCTTTTTTCTCTTGCCTACCTCTCTTTCTCTCCCTACCTCTCTCCCTCTTTCCCCCTCCCTTTGCTCCTCTCCTTCCTAGTGGCCAAGAGGTGAGCAGCTTCTTTGTTCTACCACACCCTTCTGTCTATCACCAAAAGCAACGGAGCCAGCCCACCATGGAAAATAAATCTTTCTTCTTTTAAGATGTTTTTGTGAGGTGTTTCAAAAAGCTGACTAAAATACCCACAATGGAGACAGTAGTTTTCCTCTGTCATGTGCTTTTACCATGCATGATGTGTTACCACAGATTCAAAGCCTATAGCCAGGGTAGTGAGCAGAGTGGATTCTTATCATCTTTGAATCCCTGGGCGAAGGTGGTACAAAACAGATGTGCAGTGAACATAGAATAAATGATTCTGGACTCAGTTTACCTCACCAGCACCATCTCCATAAACTTGCACTTTTCAGCTCACATTTTCTTTTCTGCTACAACTGCTGCAATATAAGGGGTAACCCTCTCCTAACTCAAGACTATCCCTGCTCAATGCTTGGAGTTTCAACCCTCCCTCCACTCTCAGAAACCTTATTACATTGCCTCTTTCTCTACCTTAGCATCCTCAAATTTCTTTTGACTCTCAAACCCCCTCCACAGAAACATAATTTTATCAACTCCCTTAGGAATTTATTGAATTATTTAATTACTATTCTATGACATGATGAAGAGACAATCACCACTGACTCCTCCCTACACTGTTTACCTTAAATTAAAAATCAATGATATCTATAGCATTTTCATTTTCCATTAATTAAATCAGTGGCTGTTTTTAAATAGAGAAGGCCTGGGTTAGCTGGGGAATGGGCACAAGATGCCAAGAAAAGATCTCCAGAAGGCTGACTCGATTGCTGCTATTGAGATTGCAATTGTCGTATGGAAGCTCAAATTTACAGAAACCAGTTCACTGCAGGCTATACAATACATGGATTTTTGTTCTTGGGGAATCCATTATGACACAGAAATTAGAAATGGCACATTCATAAAAAATATTGAGGGACTATGTTTCTTACCAAGCCACAACAACAAAAATCCAATACAACATAAAAGGGAAAAGGAACTCAGAGTCAAAAAGTCAAGACTGTGCTTGAACTCTACTACTCATTCCATCTGTGACTTTGAACAAATCCATTAGTCCCTGTGAACTGAGAAATAATTACTGATGCATTTAGCAGGTGCTATTATCAACCAGGTCCTTTAGTTGATCTTTATATCAAGGTGAGTATTATCAGCACTAATATGTGGGCAAAGAAGGAAGATGCACAGACAGATTGAAGGACCTGCTCAAAGTAATGCCATTTGAAAGAAGCCAAGAAAAGCCAACTGTAGTGATGTACACATGTAATCCCAAAACTTGGGAGGCTGAGGCAGGAGGATTCCAAGTTGGAGACCAGCTAGACTACAAAGTAGACCCTGTCTCTAAAAATCAAAAGGCCAAGGGTTTAGAGTCAAGTCTAATAGTTGCAATACGATCAATGCAAGCTCTGATAAGATATAGGTCTAATTACATAAAGCATATAAAATCTAATTTCTAGAAGGAAAGTTTCTGAAATTCCTTTGTATTAAAATATTACCAACTTAAACCTTAAAGGTGAATGGTTTTCCTCCACTATTCTGTATTAAATCTAATTCTATGTTTTTGGAGAACAGTGAAAAGAGAACATGCTGTCTTCTCTGCATATACTCACACCCTAAATTGAAGAAGCACAAATACAGAAAAGGATTAGATTTCTACCACAACCTTTAACAGGGTAGAGTAACGAGCCTACCCTCTGCGTACTCCATGCAGTCCCCCTCTGCTTGGTCTGTGGCACCCTGTTGATCAGTAAACCTGTTACCTCTCCTTCATTGTCTCGTGAACTCTCCCATGCTGCACACACTGCTCCTCCAACTCACTGTTTCTCCTCTGCAACTTTTCCAGTTTGTCATACATGTATCTTTTTTCTTGACTGAGCTGAGCTATTTCTGATCTAGAAATGGAGATAGAAATAACAGATGTTAAACGTTCTTATTTCTAGACCATATTTTTATTGTACAACCGTAGCATTATCTAAAACTCCCCACTTACTCATAACAGTGTAATCAAAATTATTTTATGTAAAAGAAAATAAATTTCAAAATATAGAGTGGCATGTGCATAGGAAGGACTCAACATAAAGGAATAACAACTACTCTAATAGAAATGGCTTTTTAAGCTACAAAAGGGATAATGATCAAATCACTTTTTTAAAAGACTGTCATTCACTGGAAAATATTTACTGCATGCTTACTACAGACCAGCTACCATACTGCTAAGGAAGCAACCCCAGGCCTACTTGCTATAAGGGAGTTTCTTTCCATTAGCATAACCAATTCAGTAGCATGTGGTTAAAAATCAAATAGTTCCACGATGGCTAATTTTATGTCAGTGTGGCTGGGCCACATGCCCACATATTTGGCCATACATAGTTCTGGATGCCTATGTTAAGGCGTTTTAAAGATGAGATTAACATTTGAGTGAGTGAACTTTGAGTAAAGTAGATTTATCCTCCATAACGTGCGTTAAGGCCTCCTCCAATTGAAGTCCTTACCAGAACAAAGACTGGCCTCCCTGAGCTAAAAAGGCTTCTGCCAGCAGACTGGGAAGCCTGTAGACTTGAACCACAACCTTAAACAGGCTCTCCAGCCTGCATGCTTACAATAAAGATTTTAGACTTAACCAAGCTAGCGTAGTTGCAGCAGCAATTAGAGAAATCTCTTAAAATATCTATCTATCTATTTAGATGACAACTTATATGGATCTAGATCAATAGATCAATAGGCAGATGTTGTATTGGTTCTCTTTCTCTGGAAATTCCAGTTAATACAAATGTAACGGCCTAATAATGAAAACTACTTGTCTCCTGCCCTGTAACCCCTGATCAATCCAAGCACTGACAAATACCTTCAATTTTTGTAAAACTATTTCTTTGGTATATCTCTATATTTCTAATGTGTTCATGCCTCTAACTCTTACTACATGGACTAAGAAATTTCTACTAACCTATTATGACAGATGGATTAAACTCCTTTATGTGCTTCCTTCCTCTTCTTCCAATTCTAGCTTTCAATGAGATTACCAGTATTTCAGTCATGGTTCAATTAATATCAGTAGTTACATTATAGTAACAAATACTTGGGTCCTTGCAATCCAAATGGAATACTGTGATCACATTTGCTCTTGTGCACACTCATTTCTCCACTGGGCATTACAGTAGGGTGACTGAGCGGTGAGCCGTCTTTCCCAATGATCACTTTGTTTTTCAACAGGAGGATTTTGCAGTTTCCTGCTGCTGTACACAGTGCTGACTGTCAGAGGTCTAGGAGCTGGGTGGAAATGAGGGGGTGAGGACCTTACTTTTCAGAGTGCAGACTTCTCTTAACCCCTCTATGCTAACCTCAGTGCCCCTGTTTTGAATAGAGCATTCTGGCCTGATCTCTTCAGAGGGGAAGCCCCTAGCCTTCAGCAGGAAGGAGGGGCAGTCACCTGGCTGGGGTAGAGGTGGAATCCTCCATTTTGGTTTCAGCCCTAAGTTCTACTTTGTTCTCCAAGTTTGTCTGGAATTCTGAGAGCAGATCAGCCGGTTACATGTTTGTATATCCCCCCTCTGTAGACACTTAAGATTTGGCTTTCTCCACTCTAAATCAAATGCCTCTCCCCAGAATGTTTCCTGTCTTCACACTTTTCATTTGCATCACCACGTCTCCTTTGATTGTGGCTTTTGTCCTTTGGCACAACAGCGACTTAGATAACAATATCAAGTCTCAAAATCTGCAGATCAGAAAGATGTCTATCCAAGAAAAGTTGTGTCCTTGTTGTAATTAAACTCTAAACTGTTGCCACTGTCACTATCTCCTCATACCTACTGCCAAGTGAAAGTTTTAAATCCTTTAATGTTATAATATGAGTAGTTTCCAGGCTAATGAGTGGTTTGCTTCCTGAAGTTTAAGAAAGACTCTTGCTATAAAATTAATTCCCTCCCCAGAAAAGATTCCTCCATTAGTCAGGGCAGCCTTCTCTTTCTGATTAGGACAGGATTTGGATTTGCTAAGGGCAATCTCACCTTACAAACTGCTCATCCCAAAGACCAAGCTGCTGATGGAAGGAGCAACCCCTCTTTAGTTCACCTGATTCCTCACTTTATTTTCTTCTTGGTTCATGTGTCATCCCAAAGGAAGGTTCCCCAGACTGATACCTTGCAGTTCTCAGTAAGTCAGTGTGAGTTTAGAACTTACCACTAGCCTTTATGCACACATTAGCCTATAATTTATTTCTTTGAATTGTGTTCTATACCTCATAATTTTTCCTCATCATAAATTACAGATGAGAACACAACTTATCTCATTTTAAGCACAGTTCAAGTACTCAATCTACACTTGCTTCTCCAAATAAGAATTTATCCATATTTGAAATAATGTAAATGAATTAATAATAACTTATGTTTCTCCCTTCCAAGTTACCTACAACATAAAAGAACTTAGAAGCAGTAATAATAACATTTTAATAAACTTTTGGTTTAATGCTTTTTCCAAAATTACCGTCTACTATACACCACACACTAAAATAAGCTCCGAAGGGAGAAAAAATATTCTTAAACCAAATTAGGAAAAAAAAAATGCCAAAGAACTTTTATCTATTCTCAGGTTCAATAAACCTGCCTTATTCACAGATTTATAATACAAGGTTTTGATGATGCATGATCAAAAAAATACTAAGAAAAAGAAATTTCAAAAACAAAAACTTAAAATTCCCACATACACATCACATAGCTCAGCTGATGCAGAGAAGCTCTGTCAGTCCCATGTCATCGTTAGTTGTGCTTAAATCATTGTGTGATCTGCTGAGTGTTCCCTTGCCCTAATTTTGTGAAAACCTGCCTTCCAATCAGCAAATGGAACCAAACAACAAGGTAAAAGTCACGGTGACTCCTCCAAGCCAAAGGGCACAGAATGTGCTTAACTCAAGTGATAAAGTGAGATTTTGAGATTTGTTGAAAGGCGGCATGTGTTTAGCAGAATTTGGGCAGCGTTATGGGGAAAATGAGTCCAGCATCCGCAGAACAGCACTGAGCTCCATGCATCCTGAGCATGTGTGGGGTTTTCTCACTGGAGGTTTCCTGAAACCAGATACCCACGAACACCAAGGGACTTCTGCACTTTCCAAGCAAAAAGGCACTTTAAAGAAGAAAAATCATGAAGAAGTCGATTTTACAATATATTTGAAAAAGCACATTTATGTGAGAATATTCATTGTAGATAGCACTGTTTCTAGACAAAAGCATGCTCCACAACTCAGTATCTAGTAAGTTAACACAGAAATCTACAACAGAAGATTAGTTACATTACTTAAACAATAGAAGACCAAGATAGTGTTCTGGTAATGTGACTGTTTACTAGTGCTACTTACTGACTTCAAACATGACATATTAGTAAGAAACAAGAAACATTAAAATGAGCATATAGGAGCTGGTGGACTGGCTCAAGTGGTGGAGTACCTCAAGTGTGAGGCTCTGAGTTCAAGCCCCAGCACCACCAGAACAACAAAACAAAAACCAGCATGCATACTGCAATTTCATCTTATCACTTAAACGCTTTGACACGGTATACCAAATATTACTATTGATAGGATTAGGGATGTTTTCCCTATTTTTCTATTTTTTCTATTTTATGAACATGTAGTGCATTTATTGAAGTTACTCTGGTTTTGAAAAACTCTTAATAAAATGAAATATAAATACTAATAGTGGAGAAGCTGTAGTAGGGGATAAGAGCTATATGGGAATTCTCTATACTTTCTGCTAAAACTGCTCTACAAATTAAATTTACTAATTTAAAAATATAAAGAATTAGGAAAACATTTACAAAAATAAGATAAATGAAGATTAAGAGCAACATTAAATAAAGAGCTAATCCCATTCCAACATAATTACAATTTAGGAAAGTAAAAGGAATATGAAAACTATCTATAGAAGAAGAAACACAAATGTTCAATTAACATTTATAAAATAGTCAATTTCATTATTATTCAAAGAAATGCATAACAAAACCAGATACTACTGTCAAATATTTATTGCATGCCTACTGAAATAGTGGAACCCATCCTTCACTTTAATGATCTCAATTAACCTAGATGGTAATTGCTCATTTCCTTTTCTCTGGAAGGTAAATATGCAGTTTAGTCATTTGCCTGAGGTCCCCAAACAGTGAGTAGCCAGGCCCCAGACAAATACAGTCTGTCCAACTCTAAAAAAGTATCTCCACCCACTGTGAAGTAACGCCTCTCACTCACTCTTTTAGTGTCACATACCGATATAGGTACCTGTGTACTGAGCATTTAGTGTAATACTTAAGCGAAGTAACACACATTAATGGCCTGAAATGATTTCAGAGTGTTTGGACCAGCAATCCCCTTTTAGGCAACTCTACTAAGGGAATTATCAGGTTACTGTCATATTATTATCTATAATGCAAGATGAAAACATTGCAAATATCTAATGAATTATTATGCATACAATGATTCAATTAAAATTTTGTTTCTAGAGTATTTACTGATGTAGAAAATGTTTATTAACGAGATGATATTAGTAAAAAGCAGATGTAAACTGCATCTATAGTATAATCTCAATCATCGTATGCTCATGGAACACATTTACATACACATGAAAAATAACTGAAAAGAAATGTGTCGAAAGGTAGCAGCAGTTACCTCAAGATGGGAATGTCACAGGAAGATGTTTCCTTAATTCTTTGTATTTACCAAATCCCTCCATTGGGGCTGCCTTATATAATCACAAGACTATAACTGCTATTGGTTTATATAATAGCCTTAGTATAATAATTGCTATAACAATCTTTTTCCTGCCTTGCATATTTTGGGCTTTTTCCTTAGTTATAAAGTCTATTTGCATACCAGCTTCCATTGTCCAATACAAATTTGGCATGTGTGCATGCATACCATCCTTCAATCGTGTACATCTCACAATAGAGTCATACAACTAGTAGTCAGCAAAGTTCAAAGAGTAAGCTTACAAGTTTCTGTGTTAGCTTTGAGATACATTTATGGCAGGTTTATCTTAGTTTCATATAATAGGAGAATTGACTCTAATCCACTTTCACAGGAAATTTCTGGCTTTACAGAAGCATGAACTTCTCCCTGTGTTTTTATATACCAGCTATATTGTGTAATTACATTTGCATGAAATGTAAGACATTTCAATACTATAATTCACATTACAATGGTAATTGCTTTTAAAGATAAAAAACGACACCTTAATATTTTATTCTTTTGGATTCTGGTTTAACTTTTGGTAACAAGGCCAGTATTAGTCTCCCCTGTAGTATACAGTTTTAGTAATATCCCAACCTAACATCATCTAAACATGCAAAGGAAAAAAACCAGTTCAACCGAGTGTGTGTTCTTTACTTCAATTAAACTCACACAGTTGGATACCTAGTGTTGCCAAAACAGTAATATAATTTATACATTATAGTCCACACAGTAAAACTACACTAAAAGTCATTTAACAATATTTATAACACCATAAAATACAGTGTTAAAATATATGAACTGCAATATGTACCAAAATGATAAAATTTGTTTCTCATCATCAGTGATTAAAACCAGGATGATTGCTCTAGCCTCAATACTCACAACCCTGGTGACAGATTAGAATTCAAATCTTAATGATCAATTTACAATTAACAAGATAGAAGTGAAACAAATTAAACCAACCATTATATATAACGAGACCCCATGGACTCCCATTGTTCCTCTTAATTACAAAACGCAAATCACAAATACACAATGGGCAGTGTTAGACATCAATCCACAAGCCCAGCAACCCAGAAAGTGACAAAGACAGGAAAAAAGGGAAGCGAAACCATGTGGATCCTTGTTCTGGGCTCTGTCCTGTTCTTTGCAGTGTGCAAGTGGAGAAAGGCTAGGACCTAGCCCGCATCGACCTCCGGCTCACAAGCTCTCTCCCACCCAAGGCTGGCCGGCCAAGGCAAGGCTCCAGGCTTGCTCCCAGCCAGTGCCCAACCTTTCCTAGCTCCACCCAAGCCAGGATTTAGATCGTACTGCAAGTGGCACTGTGTACGTTTCACTGCTGATTCATCTAAGCGCCAGGAGAAAGGGTACACTTCCTTCACTTTGATAAAGAAAAACCACAGATGTACCAAAGATATTGAAGTATCTGCATTTACCTCCCTCAGAAATGACCTCATAACTGTGATGAGCTTTCAGAGTACGGGGGGGTACAGGCAGAAGGGCTAGCTGAAGTTTATGTGGCTTCTACTAAAATCAGTCAGAATGTCTGCCTCATGCCAATTAAAAACAAAATGGAATTAATTCTCTTGCCTGATGGTCAAAAACAAGCTATTAAAAATGCACAAAATCGGCATTTCATTTTTAGTTTTAAAGTGGGAAATGCCATTCACAACTCCTGGAGTTGCAGATACCACTACACATGCAGTGCAGAGCACACAGTGCAGAAGGCACTGTGCTGATGGCTGTGGAGGCTGCCCAGAGCTGAAGCAATCACACTGTCCTAACACGGCATACTGGCTATTTGCAGAGAAAACTCTCTCTCTCTCTCTCTCTCTCTCTCTCTCTCTCTCTCTCTCTCACACACACACACACACACACACACACACGAGGTACCATTTCAAAACATTTCCAGAGCAGCCTAGCAGAAAAGAAGAAGCGTATCGGGGCAGGCAAGCCTAACTGTCAGCTTCTGTAGTGATCCCACATGGCTGTAATCAAATGCCTAGATCTGTGAGTGAAAAAGTGCATTTAAATGATCTGAGTCCATTTGTTTAGTATGGCATTTGTAAACAACACAAATGCTTACAGAACTGTTGCTAATAAGACAGGGGAGACAAAAAAAAGGTGTTTTAACTATTAATCAATACTAAATAAATACACCTGCCTTCAGGAAAAAGGTTACTGTAGTACTTGGAGGAAAATCTGGACCAAAGTACCACATGGATTAAATAACTATTTTGGAGACTGATTTTCCACAATGACAAAACTTCAGGAACGCTAAGATTTTCTTCACCTCAAAGCACAGCAGAAATGATTTATCCCAAAAATGTGGCATCTGGTGTGTAGAAACATACTTTGAGAGGGCTTTTATAGGATTTATTACATTTATAATTTGTATCTTAAAAGAAACATTCTGAGCTCTTTAGGTTTTATAGGTGGTTTCACAGCAGAAAGTAACATCAAAGTGGAATGTTAAATTTGGCATGAATAAGTTGTTGAAAATGTCATAATAGGAAGCCAGGGAAAATGAGTCTGGCTTGATAAGAAATTAACAGCAAACAAACAATCCTAAAATCACAATTTATCCTGTCTATACTTTCATGTGAGGCACACAAAACACAGCTTTTGCAAACTTTAGGGGTTCCTTAAAGTTTTAAAAATAATAAGTAGCAATCCAGTGAGTGCTTACTACTTGCCAGGCCTTAGTTTTGAGTCAACTTATAAAGCTGCAAAAGGGACCTGTCTGAATGCATCACATTTAGCAAACCAGTGCCAGAGCACAATGCACAACACAACCAGATCCACCCATTCCTGATGCTGCTTTGCCCTTAAAATGCCCTCACTGCAATACAGACCTTCCTTGGCAAAGGCAGTGAGAGCTTGGTGAAGTGTTACTGAAATTATTCATTAAGACCTTAAAACAGTGCCATCAATGACAAGAGCAGCAGCTGTGTGGTGAACACTGCACTGTGTGCTTCACAAAGCTGACCTTTCCTATTTGAAGGTTCTGCATCCACACAATCAATCAACTGCAGATTAAAAATCTGGGTCCACATAGAACATGCCCTCTTTTTTCTTGTCATTATACCCTACACAATACACTGCAACTACTTACATAGCATTTACACTGTATTAGGCATCCTATGCAATCAGGAGATGATTTAAAGTATATGGAATAAGGCTGGGAGTGCAGCTCTGTGGTAGACCACTTGCCTAGCATGTGCAAGGCCCTGGTTCCATCCCCACAACCACAAAAAATGAAATGAAAGAAAAAGATAAAGAATATGGGGAACTGTGGCTTTGTTGTATGCAAATACTGTCCCATTTTATATAAAGGACTTGAGCCTGTATATTTTGGAGTCCACAGGGGTCCTGGACCAACCAATCCCCTGTAGATAACAAGTGATGACAATGTGTGTGTGTGTGTGTGTGTGTGTGTTTGTGTGTGTGTGTACTTTCCTCTATATACAGTTTAATTCCTACAACAATTCTGCAACATGGTTTCAGCCATGTTTTTACAGATGGAGAAGCTAAGGTTTGTGGGGGCTTAAGTAACATTCCCAAGGTTACAAAACTAAGTGACAAACTAAGATTAAAACCTGGTTCTTTCTGAATTCCAAAGAGCTCTTTACTGCACACTGCCTTCCATCAACAAAAGAACAGGCTGGCATCAGAAATCAGATCAGCATGAGGTGGGGGTAGTACCACACCTGTTTGTTTCATTCATTCATCATTCATTCAATAAATATGCGTTGGGTGCCATCTATGTGTCAGATATGAAGGAACACGTTCAGTTTACATGCGGTGGTCAGGAGCTGAAGGAATCAGAAGCAAGAGAGGCTGGAGAGGTGCTGAGGCTCAAGTTCAGCAGATGTGCACAGGGTAAGCTGATAGATCTAAGGGAGGGAAAGCAGGGCCAGGGACAGTGGGTATAGCTTCACCTTGGCTCACAGACTAATCATCACATGTCAAGTACACCTGCTTCTCCACTAGAATTTAAAGGTTAATTTCTCCTTCCTATCCTTTCCCACCATTGCTACTGTGGTCTGAACTTTCTCTTCTCATTCTTAAGAAATGGGGTTTGGCTAAGTTACTCAGGCTGGCCTCAAATTCCTGGCTTCAATCTCCTGTCTCACTCTCTGGAGTAACTGAGAGTTCAGGTATGTGTCACCACACCTGGGAAGACTGAATTTTCTTTAGTGGTAGGTGTAAAATACTGTAATTATTATTAGACTATAGACTTTGGAACCAGAAATACCTAGGTTAGAACCCCCACTCTCCTACTCACCAGCTATTTAGACAGTTTAGGCTTCCTTAACTCTGTCTCAAGCTGTTGTGAGAATTAAGCAATGCACATATCAAGCACCTCTGTCTGTTTGATGTTCCCTAATTATTTGACCTAAAGATAGCTATAGCTTTCATGTATTCATTGGGAACTGTCATAATAGAGTAAAATGTGTTAACTACATCAACATAAGATTTTGAAACTGCTTGATTTATCTTCATCCTTTATTATAACAATTGCCATCTTGACCTTTGTTTTCTGGCATTTCATAGTTTATAATTATAAGCATTTGAAAAGTCAAGTAACAGTATGTATATATAATCATCAAAAACCATCAAAGTTGTACTGAGGATATAGCCCAGTGGCAGAGTGCTTGCCTAGTATGCATAAGGCCCTAGGTTTGATTCCCCAACACCGCTAAAGAAAGAAAAACAGAAAGGAAAGAAAAGAAAGGAAGGAAGAAAGCATATGTATGGACAATTATGAAAAAAACCCAAACAGAAAAAATATTTTCACAGAAAACTTGTATCAACAGATAACTAATTTTTAACAATAGATTATAACATCGTATAAATGCTGTTTTTAAGGAAAACTTAAATTAATCAAACGGTGCTCTGGAAGTATTATATAACATTACCTACCTGCTTTTTTGAGAGATCTGCTCCAGTTTCTTGGCTAAGGTACGGCACTCTTCCTTCAACTTTGTCAAAAATGTATTCTGGGAGGTCAGCAATGAATATTGTTCATTTTCTAGAAATAACAATAAATCCCCACCAACATAAGATGTTTATGGCTGCAGTTTTGCAGGGCTACCATACCCACTGTGGTCAAGTGCTTTATCTTACTATGTATGTCCTATAAGCCATGAGATCGCGCCAATGTCCTAAGTTAAAGGACAGATCATCTGGCACACACTGTATCTTGTGAGACATTTACTTTCATGATAAAATTATAACCAGTAACATTTTTGATGATATCAGCTTGAGTAACATTTTAGCATGTTCATAAATTGTCAAATACCTCAAGTGGAGTCATAGATGCTTATATCTTTGTAATATGCAAGATATTATATTTTTATTTTGACAATTTTACTATAAACAGTGTCAAAAATTCTCACAAGCAGATAATTCAAACGAAAACCATCAAGGAATTCTCTTTTAGACTGTAACTTATGCTTTGCATTTCGTATTTTCTACCACTGCTCCCAACGAATCTTGCATATACTTCTCTAATTATTAAGGTTAACTATGTGATTTTTCTTGGAATTCTGAGCTTACTGTCAATACAAGTGCTTCAATGAAAACTTGGTCAAAGTAATTGAAGAGTGTGATTTTTTTGTGTGTGTACAAAATAAAAGGTTATGTCCTGAAAGTGATTTCAGCAGTTAAAGACTCTTATCTAATGCTTAGATTCTGCCCAAAACTCTTAGATCACCAGGATCCTGCTAGTAGTGGGGGCATGATCATTTATTCTACAATTTCTTTGTTTTTTAGTGGAAAAACATCTACTGAGTATGTTGAATTTTCATTTCTTCTGGCCAAATGCTGTGAGAAGAAAATCTCTACTGACAATGCTGGAGGGAAATTATGTGAGTCATTATGACATTTGCCTCTTTATAAGTAAATAGATTATTTAATGAATTTCATGTTAGCGGTTTTTCACCTATGGGAGAGGAAATCATTTTTTACCATATCATCGAATACAATACACATTAAATCCTGTGAAAATTACCTCTAAGTAATTATTCCCTTTCAGTTCTAGCTAATGATTGGCAAAAAGCATATAGCATACAAAGCAAAATAAATCAAGGCACTAAAATTAAGCAACATTTTTCTGGAAGAGACAGGATCAATTAAACTTTTGTTTTAATAGTACAATCAGCATGGAGTATGTGGCGTGGAATTATAATGACTGACACTGTCTTGTTTTGACTAACACTGTCTGTGAACACACAACTCAAAAGTGAAAGGAACTACAGAATGCTCTGACTGAACAAATCAAACTGCCTATTTTCGAAGTGCATTTTACTTTCAAATTAAAGGTAAAGAGTTACTGGCCAGCTCCGTCTGCAGAACACTGCCAATGTGATGAAAGATGGCAATTTTTAGCCAAGCTGCCAGCTGTGGTCAATGCCTTGTATTAGTGAATTTTAACAGCAGTTGTGAGAACTTGAAGAATGCAAAGGATTAAACATCACTCTAGATTGGACTGGGGGAGGTGGGGAAATCATACAAATGCTAAAAATGTTCGAAGCTGCAAAGATTAAATAAAGGAACATATCAATTTGGAGCCACTGAATTACATCCAGCTGCGACAGTGAATTAAGAACCGATTAATGGCTAAAGCTTTTCTCCAGTTTGGATGCTGAAGCAAACTCATTAGGCTTTTAGAGTAGCTATAATGTGTGTGCTATGGGAACTGTTCAGTGCTATTCGGGAGACTGTAACTGTAAGCTCAGAGCATTTCCCGCAGAGCTTCTGATGCTATTTTCTTTATATAACATGTGTGCCTGAAAACCCAGCCAAAAACAAGCCCTTTGTTTTTCTACTTTGTTGTGGTCTCTCTCAGCTTTACGTTTCTTGAACACAGGTAAATAAACTCATAATCCAGATGGTGCAACAGATGTGAGAGCAGCACTCTGAAATCAACAGACAGTGGGCAATACTTTCCATTTTCTCTTTTAAACGCTAACTAATATGTAATTCGGAATCTCCGGTGTAGTTAGCATCTGCTCCCTTCGGCCAGCCAAAGGTTACAGGTGTTCCTGATGTCATTTCACAGTAAGGCGTGGGCCTGGCCTGTGAGCAAGTGCCCAGGCTCTAATCTCTCCCTGCCACCCACCAGTTTTGTCGTGCTGGGCCTCCATTTGCTGTATCTTCTGTGTCAGCTCCTGCTCTCTCTGCTGGGCCTGGAGGGCTTGGGCCTTTGCTTCGTTGCTAAAGCTCTGCTGAATGCTATCTTTTTCCAGTCTGCAAAACAGAGAGAAGACAGACAGAGATGTGATCTGCAGGCACACTGACTTCCATCACTTTTCCTATGGACCACAGAAAGCAGAGAGGTAGTAAACTGTTAGGTATAAGGAGACAATCTTTCCCACAGCCCCTCCACATTTCAAAGGGGGAAAAAAATCCAAAGGATTCTTCAAACAATGTGAACTATGCGCCAGAAATTCAAATAGACCAAAAGACGTAGCTCCGAAAAAAAAAATTATGACTGAATACTGACATTCCGTAACTTTAAAGCACAGTATACTTTTTCTATTTCATGTTCTGAATGATCAGTGTTTTGTAAAGATGGTGGAATTCTAGAAACAGCAGAACTTAATTCTTATTTAAATAAGAATTTTTTGAAAGCTTAAATTCTTAACACTAAGTTTAGTATACTCCTGTTTTCCTCTGAAACTTAAAATGGACGCTCAAATATAATGCAGGAGCATTAATCTAGAGGCCAGCAATGCACGTATGTCTTCATTAAATATTTTCACACATCAGGCCACAGAATGTGGATATAAATATGAATATGAAATAATAACATGGTTCTTGCAGGATGAAAAGCTCTACAATCAGAGACAACATCTCACCCCAGTGTGGTAGGACACTGACTTATCCATTAGGTTCAAGCAATTAGAACCTGAGCAGTGCACAGGACCTCACTGCTGGCAGCACTGTGGGTACTGACTGCGGGTACTGACTGCGCGGACACGCGCACGCTCTAGGTTGGTTCTAAATATGAGAAAGTGCTATGAGGGTTTCCTTCAAATAAGTGACTTAGTTATTTCTGACTCCCGATCTCCTTGTGGGCATTTCTCATCCATGCTGCTTTAGTTTACTAATTGAGATATTTACTGCCTAGCCTTTGCCAAACTAAAAATAAACAATTCCATAAAGCTATCACTACCAGTCTATGTACCGCTGTGGAACTTCAGTTCACTGGCTTCTAATTATAAAGCAACATAAGGAAAGTCTGCATTGAAACTGGTCAATGCATGTGGTAATGTTGTAGTGTAAAATTCCAGAATGAAAATACACCCACACCTCACTCAAATGGAATCATCAGGGGTCCATGCTAAATGTGAAAGAAGGTCCCTTCTGGTACTTCTAACAACAACACCCCCTGGACTCGGTCCAAGGTCTTGTCTCACACTCAGTTCCAAACTAGTATATTGCAACAAATGGATAGTCAGACGAGGCTACTTTTTGCCTCCTCCATCACACTACGCATTTTCTGGCTAGGGATCACAGCACATGTTTCTTCCTCTTCCTGGAATGCCCCCGCCCACCCATTCAACCCTCCAGCACATGTATACTATTCCTTTAGGGCCTACCTCAAACTTCTGCTCTTCTTTTGCCTCTCTCTCCTAAATGTACTCTCCTTCTCTCAATGACCTCAATACACATTGTGCATATCCTACGAAGATAACACCACACCTGAGTTAATGCTTTACACAGCTGTCTCCCTTCGTCATCCTGGTCTCTCTACCCTGAGCCCGGTTCAGTACTTGGCACAGAGGAAATGGGCAGTGAATATTTAATGATTGGATATTTTTTTGCCCTTGGCATGGGGAAGAAGAAAGGGTACCTTTATGTGAAATTAGAGAATCTGCTCAAACCTTACATGAGGGGCAGAAGCATTTCAGACAGGAAAGAGTGCTTGGACAACATGGCTCTTAGTGTCATTGTCAGCTAGGGACCATGCTGCTGAAGGAGTCAGAACCCCATGGACTCTGTCACTGGGTAGCCATGACCAAGTCAGAACTACAGCTCGAGCAGGATATATGGGCAGAGAGAGCTGGAGCTTGGAGAGCCCTAATAAATAGCACTGTCCAAAACTAGTACACGATTGAGAGGGACACGGGGTGTTAATAATAATTATACCAAGAAAATAGTCGTAACTGCGACTACCCGTCGCAAACTGAGACAGTTCACTAACATAAAGGGCAGACAATCTCACCAAGAATGTTTAGAAAGAGAAGCTCCTAATTACTGATGTTCTAAATCAACAGAGGAAAGAACTACTGTGGTTTTCCTCATAAAATAAAACAATTTAAAGCCCCTCTGACAACAAATGCTGAGTTACACATCACCTTGTGTTTTTCTTCTGTCTCTACTTTCACTATATTTGAGAGACAATACATATTATTTTTCACCAAATATATATAAAACATGGCATATTACTACTTTCCTACCACCTTCCTCCTCCCTTTCTCTTCCCTGTTGCCCTTTCCACTTGCAGGTTCTTTCTGATTAGGTAAGGTTTTCATAAGATCTCAGAATGTTAGAAATGAAAGGGAATCTCAAATTTGTTTCATCAAATCGCCACATATTATAGCTGAAAAACAACAGACAACCCACACTGAAACCCCAAGGGCCATAAAGTATTTGAAATGTACTCATAGGTTACCTAGTGAATGATTTCAATGCACAGATAGGATTAAAACTATTTTTACTCAGGAAAATCTATTTTATAACACCCTAGAGGTAATGCAATAATGGAATGAAAAAATTAACAAAAACCACTTATGCATCCAAGGAAAGAATCAGAGAAGAATTAAAATCAATCTATTAAATCAGATCCAGTTACTATTATGTTACTGGATCAAATAAAGATAAGTAAGCCATGCCACTGTTTTCTTAATAAACACTTAGATTGAAAAGGAGTGAATAAGTACTAGTTAGGCCTCAAACACATGCTAGGTATACAATCAGTCTTTTTTCCAATTACAATTTTGGCTGACTCCATTTTATATAAATGGCTACCATGATATTTATAATTCCATTTTCTTACCATTTATTGTTTTAAAAATTGCCATTTAAAAAATTTCCATGTAACAGTGCAAAGACTTGTTAAATACATTTTTAAAGTACACTTTTAATTTTATAGCTAGTTTGAGGGATCAAGAGCTTCTAATGATCCTCAAATTCAACAACAAGCCTGGAACATGAACAATGACTACTTCAGTCTAATTCAAAAGAGTACCTGACTGAAGTGGTGGAGACTGAAGCACCCATCTGCAATGTCCGTAGTCACCCTTTTACTGAGGTCTGAAGTGCTGGTGTTACACATGTGACCCTTTGGGTTAAAAGGCATTTCCTTTTTAAAGTACAATGCACAGCACTTTGTGATAGTAGCATATCTGTGTATCAAAACTTTTAAGAAGGGGCTAGAGAAAGTAGTTCAGTGGTAAAGTGCTTGCCTAGCATGTACAAGACCTGGTTTCCATCCCCAGCACTGCAAAAATAAGAAAAAGAACACAAAATCTTTGTAAGAAGTTTACAACATGCATACTAGCTAAAAACCATTGTTGAAGGAATATACAGAGAGAAGCTGTTGGGACTTCAGACACATGATGTCCATTTGTCCCAGTACTGGCCATATCACTTGGTTACATCATCGGCATGCTGAAAAGTGTTTAGTAACTGGTCTTGGGGACTGGGGGAGAAGTCCCTCATTTGTAGTATTAAATTATTTCCACTATGGCCTGTTTTAAACTACCAAAGTGACATCACTGAACATTAGGTTGGGCAGCACAAGGCCAAGGCAGGAGCTGGTGCGACCAGCCCCAGTACATAGTGGGGCAGGTGAGCTCTCCTAGGTTTCTCCACTGTAAAGTTACTGACTCTCCTTTGTATTTAGTAGGTGACTTGTTGGAAGAAGCAGATATCTTACTCCACATCAAACTCTCATCTACTAGTTTTGTATCTAATGACAACTCTCTACTCCATCACTCATTCTGTATTTACATTAGTTAACACTGTCCTGGATGGACAAACTTTCCTTTCTAATTTATCAATTTACTGATATCAGCATGGAGTTCTGCATTCTTCTTTTATTTGGTGGGTTATAATCCATTATGATCATTATTTATTTGTAAGTTCTATTCATTTGTAAATTCAACTTGGGCAGTAGAGTCCCCTTCGGACTGGTTCCTACAGGACGTGTCTCCATTATTCTTGTGCACTTTGTGGCTTTCTATCTCAAGGTATTGTGGATTCATCTTGTACTGTCTCTGTACCAGTCTTGGAATGAGAATTTGTCCAAGAAGGTATTCTGTGCATTTTAGTGGCGAAACCAGGATCTATGACTAAGTTATGCTCACTGCTACAGTAGATTCATTGCTTCTAGGGTATGAATATACACATAAGCGTATATGATTATAAAGGTTTCATATATGTGCCTATATGAAATAATAATGTCTATTGATACTGGTATTTCTAATTATAATCCAATAATAGAGATAATCCAGTCTCCCTTCTTTCCAGATCTGTTATTTTCTTCTGTAATAGTGAGAAATTTGGCTCCTATTATCTTCAACATATTTACTTATTTGTTCAAACTTGGAAGCTGCAAAAAGTTTCAAAACTGCTAATCTACAGAAGGCAAATCTATTAGTAAGTAGAATTAAATATTTGCTTACGGTTTTGTTTTGCTTCGCTTCATTCTTTTTATAAATGCATACATACCATTTGCAGTTGATTCTGTTTGCAGTCTAGGAAAATTATGTGTTAAGAGACAGTAGAGAAGAGTAGAAAGCTCACAGAACTAGAGCATGTCTTTATTATCATTTTCACTTTACAAATGAGGAAACTGTGGTCTGGAGTGGTTGTACCCACGTTCCCCAGTAATTAGGGTTTTGCCAGGAAGTCCAGGTTTCTCTGACTCTAAAGGCCACAGTGGGCACTATGCTTCAGAGTCTTACCTACAAGAGCTGCCGAGAAGTGAGAGAGGTTTAAAAAGATAGCAGTCTTATTTCAGTTTTCCATATGTGTATGAGTCCATAGTCTATCTGACAACCAAAGCCCAAGCCAGTCTCCTTTTCCTGTCTTCCCATTTGTCCCATCTGTTATTGGATCACTTCTTCCTGCAATGACACCATCAATTAGTTGTATCCTCCTCAAAGAAACACAGGAACTTTGTAAAAACACTGAAAGGTATCACAAACACTTCTTCTGCCCCAAGCTGGTCAGACTCC